AGAGATAACGATTATTAGATGATAAGTGGTCAATAAACAGGGGGAAGGAAAATTTTGAGTTAGGTCATGATGTATACTGAGGATTTCATCTACATTGGACAGGGCAATCTAGTAAAGATGCAATAGAAAAAGATACATAGGTGAGAGGTCTGTGCTGTAGACAAAACTGTGAGAAGCTTTTATCTATCAGATTGGCAAAGATGTATGCCTTGTATGGGCTATGATGTAAGGGTATCAATAAGTACCCCTTCCTATTGATAGGAATGTAAATTGGCAAATCTTTTTCATAGGGCAATATGCCAAGATATATTAAAATTTAGAGCATGCTGGCCATTTGCTTCAGCAATATCATTTCTAGAAATTAATTACACAGATGTATTCATGTAAGTATGCAAAGATAGATGATGTACAGAGAGTTTGTGTACGATTGCAAGTCTTCTTTCTTTGAAAATTTAGTAGAACTTACTAGTGAGGTCATCTGGGTCTGAAGTTTTCTTTATGGGAAGAGTTTTGAGGATTAATTCAATTTCTTTAATGGTCATAGATATGGTTGATTGTAAATTTTCTTTTTCTATGAATTTATCCAGGAGTTTTAGTTTTCAGTGGGAAGGTTAATCCAAATACCTGGCCTGCCATATATCACTTCATATTACAACATTGAATTTAAGTGCATACAACTTTGAGTTTAACTCACATTTTTCAAAAATGCTTCTATAGCCATGGCTGGTGTGGCTTAGCTGGTTGGGCATCGTCCCATGCACCAAAAGGGTTGCAGGTTCGATTCCTGGTCAGGGCAGATGCCTAGGCTGCGGGCTTGATCCCCAATAGTGAGCAGGCTTGATCCACAGTAGAGGTCCTGTAGGAGGCAGCCAGTGGATATTTCTCTCTCATTTCTCTTTCACATTGATATTTCTCCCTCTCCTCTTTCTCTGAAATCAATGAAAACATTTTTTTTCAGGTCCTTTGCCCATTTTTATTTTATTTTATTTTTTTTATTATTCTTTTTAACCAGCCAGTGGTTTCTCTCTCATTTCTCTTTCACATTGATATTTCTCCCTCTCCTCTTTCTCTGAAATCAATGAAAACATTTTTTTTCAGGAGGTTTTAAAAAATAAAATAAAATGTGTTATTCACCCTGGTGTATGAATCTAATCTAAATATGCACCAAGTGTCTCTCTTTGTTTGGGGCTTTGGTTTTATGATTTGACGTGTGTGTGTGTGTGTGTGTGTGTGTGTGCATAATGCTCTCCAGTTCCATCCATGCTGTTGCAAATGGTAAGAGTTCCTTCTTTTTTACAGCAGCATAGTATTCCATCGTGTAGATGTACCACAGTTTTCTAATCCATTCATCTACTGATGGGCACTTAGGCTGTTTCCAGATCTTAGCTATGGTGAATTGTGCTGCTATGAACATATGGGTGCACATATCCTTTCTGATTGGTGTTTCTGGTTTCTTGGGATATATTCCTAGAAGTGGGATCACAGGGTCAAATGGGAGTTCCATGTTTTGTTTTTTGAGGAAACTCCATACTGTCTTCCATAGTGGCTGCACCAGTCTGCATTCCCACCAGCAGTGCACAAGTGTTCCTTTTTCTCCACATCCTCTCCAGCACTTGTCGTTTGTTGATTTGTTGATGATAGCCATTCTGACAGGTGTGAGATGGTACCTCATTGTTGTTTTGATTTGCATCTCTCGGATGATTAGTGACTTTGAGCATGTTTTCATATGTCTCTTGGCTTTCTGAATGTCCTCTTTTGAAAGGTGTCTATTTAGATCCTTTGCCCATTTTTTGATTGGATTGTTTATCTTCTTTTTGTTAAGTTGTATGAGTTCCCTATAAATTTTGGAGATTAGGCCCTTATCAGATATGACGTTGGCAAATATGTTTTCCCACGCAGTGGGTTTTCTTGTTGTTTTGTTGATGGTTTCTTTTGCTGTGCAGAAGCTTTTTATTTTGATGTAGTCCCATTTGTTCATTTTCTCTTTAGTTTCAACTGCCCTAGGAGCTGTATCAGTGAAGAAATTGCTTTGGCATATGTCTGAGATTTTGTTGCCTTTGGATTCTTCTAGAATTTTTATGGTTTCCTGTCGTACATTTAAGTCCTTTATCCATTTTGAGTTTATTCTTGTGTATGGTGTAAGTTGGTGGTCTAGTTTCATTTTCTTGCATATATCTGTCCAATTTTCCCAACACCATTTATTGAAGAGACTATCTTGGCTCCATTGTATGTTCTTGCCTCCTTTGTCAAATATTAATTGAGCATATTGGTTCGGGCTAATTTCTGGACTCTCTATTCTATTCCACTGATCTATATGTCTGTTCTTGTGCCAGTACCAGGCAGTTTTGAGAACAGTGGCTTTGTAATACAGCTTGATATCTGGCATTGAGATCCCACCTACTTTGTTCTTTCTCAGGATCGCTGCAGCTATTCGGGGTCTTTTTTTATTCCAGATGAATTTTTGGAGAGTTCGTTCTAGATCTTTGAAGTAGGCCATTGGTATTTTAATGGGAAGTGCGTTGAATTTATAGATTGCTTTGGGTAGTATGGACATTTTAATGATGTTGATTCTACCAATCCAAGAACATGGTATGTTCTTCCATCTCTTTATGTCTTCCTCTATCTCTTTTTTCAATGTCCTGTAGTTTTCTGAGTAGAGGTCTTTTACCTCTTTAGTTAAGTTTATTCCTAGGTAGCTTAATTTTTTTGGTGCGATGGTAAATGGGATTGTTTTTATAATCTCTCTTTCTGAAAGTTCACTATTGGTGTATAGAAATGCCTCAGATTTCTTGGGGTTAATTTTGTATCCTGCTACATTGCCAAATTCATGTATTAAGTCTAGTAGTTTTTTGATGGAGTCTCTAGGGTTTTGTATGTATAATATCATGTCGTCTGCAAATAAGGACAGTTTTACTTCCTCTTTTCCAATTTGGATGCCTTTTATTTCTTCTTCTTGTCTAATTGCAATGGCTAATACTTCCAGGACTATGTTGAAGAGGAGTGGCGAGAGTGGGCATCCCTGTCTTGTTCCTGTTCTTAGGGGAAATGGTGTTAGTTTTTGTCCATTGAGTATGATGTTGGCTGTGGGCCTGTCATATATGGCTTTTATTATGTTGAGGTATGATCCTTCTATTCCCACCTTGCTGAGAGTTTTTATCAAAAATGGGTGTTGGATTTTGTCGAATGCTTTTTCTGCATCAATTGATATGACCATGTGGTTTTTTTCTTTCAATTTGTTTATGTGATGTATTACGTTTATTGATTTACGGATGTTGTACCATCCTTGCATTCCTGGGATAAATCCTACTTGGTCATGGTGTATGATCTTTCTGATGTACTGTTGGATCCGATTTGCTAAGATTTTGTTGAGGATTTTGGCATCTATGTTCATGAGGGATATTGGCCTGTAATTCTCTTTCATTGTGTTGTCTTTACCTGGTTTTGGTATTAGGGTGATGCTGGCTTCATAGAATGAGCTTGGAAGTGTTCCTTCCTCCTGAATTTTTTGTAGTAGTCTGAGGAGGATAGGTTTTAGTTCTTCCTTGAAAGTTTGGTAAAACTCCCCTGAGAAGCCATCTGGTCCTGGGCTTTTGTTTGCTGGGAGCTTTTTGATGACTGCTTCAATTTCTTCCATAGTTATTGGCCTATTGAGATTTTTAGATTCTTCCTGATTGAGTTTTGGAATGTTGTATTTTCCTAGGAATTTGTCCATTTCCTCCAGGTTGTCTAGTTTGTTGGAGTAGAGCTGTCCATAGTATTGTTTAACAATCATTTGTATTTCTGTGGGGTCTGTTGTTATTTCGCCTCTATCGTTTCTGATTTGGTTTATTTGGGTCCTCTCTCTTTGCTTCTTGGTGAGCCTGGCTAGAGGTTTGTCGATCTTGTTTATCCTTTCAAAGAACCAGCTCTTGGTTTCATTGATTTTCTGTATTGTTTTTTTGGTCTCTATGTCATTTATTTCTGCTCTAATCTTTATTATCTCCTTCCTTCTGCTCACTCTGGGGTTTTCTTGTTGCTCTCTTTCTAATTCTTTGAGTTGTAGAGTTAGATGATTTACTACCATTTTTTCTTGTTTTTTGAGGTAGGCCTGTAGAGCTATAAACTTCCCTCTCAGGACTGCTTTCATTGTGTCCCATAGGTTTTGGATTGTTGTGTTTTCATTGTCATTAGTTTCCAGGATGTTTTTAATTTCTTCTTTGATGTCATTGGTAACCCAATCAATATTTAATAACATGCTATTCAGCTTCCAAGTGTTTGAGTATTTTGGGTTGTTTTTATTGTAGTTTATTTCTAACATTATGCCATCGTGGTCTGAGAAGAAGCTTTTTATGATTTCAATCTTCTTGAATTTGTGGAGACTTTGCTTGTGACCCAATATGTGGTCTATTTTTGAATATGTCCCATGAGCACCTGAGAGGAATGTATATTCCATGGCTTTGGGGTGAAGTGTTCTGAAGATGTCAATTAAGTCCATCTGATCTAGTGAGTCATTTAGGATTGCTGTTTCTTTGCTGATTGTTTGTCTAGCGGGCTTATCCAGTGGTGTCAGTGGTGTATTAAAGTCCCCTACTATGATTGTATTGTTGTCGATCTCTCCTTTGATATCTTCCAGGAGTTTTTTTTATGAATTTGGGTGCTCCTGCATTGGGTGCATATATGTTTACCAGGGTTATATCTTCTTGTTGTATTGATCCCTTTAGTATTATGAAGTGGCCTTCCTTATCTCTGGTTATGGCCTTCACTTTGAGATGTATTTTGTCCGATATAAGTATTGCTACCCCAGCTTTCTTTTCCTTTCCATTTGCGTGAAAGATATTCAATGAAAACATTTTTAAATAGAGTCAAGACTTTGGGAGTTTTGCAAAAAAAAACCACAAAAAAAACAAACACACACAAAAAACAACAACAAATATGCTTCTATTATAGTTTTTGTCCTGAATCATCAAGGACTAAATAAAAGTTTCTCATTTCCTACTGACATTATACATTTTATTTTCCAGCTATACCATCAACAACTACCACCACCACCACTACCAACACCACCACAACCACTAGTGAATTTACCTTCAGTCGAAAACCACTGATAGCAACTGGGATTAAGTACACTCTTCCAGTCAGTTTGGCTTCTATACCTTTAACTTCGACTCTTAAGTAAGCCTGTTATTTGAAAATGTGTGTGAGTTTAATTTTATTTATCATGTACAGGTATAATTTGTTTGTGAAGCTTTGGAATAGTGTTTGAAAATTAAGTAAATGACTCAAGAGTTGAAGAAGATGTTAGAGAAAGGATTTTTGTAGTTTAGGAAGTTGAACAACTAACAGGATACTTTTGTCCTTGAATGCCATTATAATAAAATTATTGCTATTAGTAATAATAGCTAACATTTATTGTATAATTACTATATGTTTAGTAATTTGACAATGCTTTATAAATATCATATTTAATCCTCACAGTAACCCTATGAGATAGGCACTATTTTTGTTTCCATTTTATAGATGAGAAAACTGGAGCACATAGAGATTTTACAATCTGTTCCTGATCACACATTTGGTAATGGTTGAGCCAAGATTAAAATTCAAGCAGTCAAACTCCAATGCCTGTATTCTTACAGTCTATGTCATATTCCTCTCTAATTGTCCTTGTTTTTTATTAACTTTTTATTTTGAGATAATTGTAGATACACATGTATCTCTAAGAAATAATACAAAAAAATCTATATCTTTGTACCCAGTTTCCCCCAATAATAACTCTACTACAATATCACATGTAGGATATTGACATTGATACAGTCAAGATAACAGAACAGTTCCATCACCACAAGGATCCCTCCTGTTACCCCTTTATAGCCACACTCACAACCCTCCTTTCCCTGAGCCTGGGCAACAATTAATCTGTTCTCTATTTCTGTAATCTTGACATTTTTAGAAATGCTATTCAAATGGAATCACACACAGTATTCGATGTTTAGATATTAGTTTCTTTCAGTAGGCATAATTCCTTCAGATAAAGTTGTCACATGCATCAATAATTTGTTCTTTTTTATTTCTCAGTAGTATTCCATGGTATTGTGGATGTACCATGGTTTGTATAACTGTTCACCTATTCATGGACATCTAGGTTGGTTCCAGCTTGGGACAATTATGAATAAAACTTTAATGAACATTGTGCACACTTTTTTGTAAACCTAGTCTATTTCTCTGAGATAAATGCCCAGGAGTATAGTTGATAGGTAAGGTGGGAGGTGCATGTTTATTTTTTTAAGAAACTGCCAAGTTCATTTTCAGAATGGCTGTGCCATATTCCATGTCCAACAGCAATGTATGAGGGATTCAGTTTGCTCACATTCTTGCCAGGATTTGTTGTCATTATTTTTTTATTTTAAACCTTCTAATAGATATAAAGATATCTCATTGTGGTTTTAATTTATGTTTTCCTGCTGAATAATGATATTGAACATTTTTTTCACTGTGCAATTTTTTTTCTTTTGATTTTTTAAAACAGGGAGTGAATTAACTATTTAAAATAATGTTGAAAAAAGAAGAAAGAAAAAAATAGAAACAACACAAAAACAAAATAATGTAGAAAATATAGGTTCTATAAAGTGGCAACAAACGCATATCTATCAACAATTGAATCTAAAAATAAAAATAAATGAACAAGAGGAGAGAGACAAAATGGCGGCGGTACAGATGGACGTGTCCTGTGCCTTGTCCCGGAGCAGATAGAGTGAGCAGCTGAAACGAGTAACATCCAGCCTGACTTGGCAGAGGAGATTCAGCTGGAAGACAGTTTGCAGCCTGGAAAGGCAGAGGACTCCCAGAGAAAGGTAAAATCAAGGCTCTGGGAAGGATAATCGGCCAGAATTCTGAGCCCTGAGGATCAGAGGGAATCCACACTGCACGGGCTTGGGCCGTGTCCCTTGGGACGGGCCCAGTGGAAGGTGCCCAGAACTGCTGGTTGGCAGGGGATTCTAGATCTGGGTCCACAATCAGGAAAGGCTGAGGAGTGCCAGCAGAATAGCGCGCAGAGGCGCAGCCTTTCCCCCCTCACAGGGGATTCTAGATCTGGGTCCACAGTCAGGAAAGGCTGAAGAGTGCCGGCAGGGGAGGAGCGCACAGAGGTGCAGCCTCTCCGGGCTCTGTGGCTTGTGCCTTTCTTCATTGAGCCTAGTGCATAGGACCTTTCAGATACAGACACTTACCCTTGGCTGGAGTGTGGGAGAAGTTTAGAAAGTCTTAATTGATTCCAGCATCAACTCTGAAATCTATGTCCAAAGTCTCATCTCAATATAATAAAAATCTAATAAACAAAATAAACCAACAAACATTATAGAAACAGACTCATAGGTACAGAAAACAGACTGACAGCTGTCAGAGGAGAAAGGCACTGGGAGAGCTGGGTAGAAAAGGTGAAGGGATTAAGCAAAGAAAAAACTCATAAACACAGACAACAGTATGGTGATTACCAGAGGGTGAGTGGGGGAGGTAGAAGAGTGTAAAAAGGAATAAATGTTGATGGAAGGAGACTTGAATTGGGGTGGTGAACATGCAATACAATATACAGAAAATGTATTATAAAACTGTACACCTGAAACCCATATAATTTTATTGACCAATGTCACCCCAATAAATTCAATTAAAAATCCATATACTTAAAAATATCAAACATGGATGAGGTTCGAGGTATGATTCACCCCAAGGCAAAATTTCCCTCCAGCTGTAAACCTGTGAAACCAAACAAATTATGTGCTTCCAACATATAATGCTAGGCATTAGAAATACATTCCTATTCCAAAAAAGAGAAATATAAAGAAAGCAGGGATATTGGGTGTCATATATGTCCAAAATCTAACAAGGCAAATTCCATTAGACCTTAACACTTAAAAATAATCCTCTTTGGCTTGGTGCTCTGCCTTCCAGACTCAATTTGGGTAGCAATATCACCCTCACAGTTTGGCAGGGTGCTACCCATGCTGTGGCTTTCTGTGTGTGTGGGGGGAGGACCCCTGACTCCTGAACCAGAAAGGCAGCTTCATCCTTTGAAACTGCTCTGCCCCTGGGCTCTTACACTCTGGACCACGGTGGAAATGGCAGCTCTGATGAATCTCTAAATTGCCTTGGGAGGAGGGGCGGGAGGGGGGGGGGGGGTTTGTT